ACCCAGAACCCCCAAAAAATAGACTCACCCAAATCAAGAAGCCAGAAACCCCCGAAAGGCAAGCACTCACGAGGGTTTGGACATGTTTGCGGCGTGTCTGAGGGATGCAAGGATGCAGGGTGGGTTGTATAGGGATTTGGAACTTGTGATTCAGCGTTTCAGGTTTTGGGGTTTTGGGGCTTGGTCCTGTGGTTCAATTTCAGGTGTGGCATATTGTCAACTGTGGGTAGGCTTTTCGGAATGGCGTTGAGGGCTTGCTTGGTTGGGCCAGTCAGGTAACCAAGCCTAGGGATATCCTCCAAAATCCACGGCCCAAGGGGTCATTAGCAGATTGCGAGTCGAAGGGGCTTCGGGCATGAAGGCCCCTTTCGCAGAAGGCATGTATTGAGCTGGGCCCAGGTTCTCTCTTGATGGCTTTGTCCGTGTGTTAGTACGACTAGTGTAAGTCGTCGCTACAACCTCGCCCGACGTGTTTGAGCGCGAGTGTCAAAAAAGTCGTCGTCGTTCCTTGTGCCACCATGCCATCATTTTGCGTACTGCGACGACAGATGCTTGAGGGCACAAGCAGAACTGCTTCCAAGATTAGAGCCTTAAAGGAAGGATTTCGGGGCGTCAAGTAACCGAAATCATTTATTTGCAACACAACCCTTTCAGAATACCAAAAACCCAAGGTGTCATTAAAATCATAACACCTTTGATAGCTATTTTAGGGCTTAGGGTCCCTCGGATACAAGCCTTCAGGTTGCCCAGCAGCTGTCTGCTTTGGACAAGTTCCAGGCTTTGTGGGGGCTTACAAGGATAACAGATCGTAGCATCAGAGAATGCAGGGATATGTTTATGAATGTATGTTTGCTGTTATGTAGGTTTGTATATCAATAGTCAGGTAGGCAGGCAAGTAGGTAGGTAGGTAGGCAGGCAGGTAGGTAGGTGTGTGTATATATGTGTATGCATGTACGTGTATGTCTGCATGTGTGCCTGCATGCGCGTCGTATGTCTGCATGTCTGTACAGCTGTCTGTATGTATGCATGTCTCTCTGCATGTATTGATGTCTGTATGTTCGTGTATATACATACATATTTGTATGCAAACCCTACAGTTTTCGCCTAAGCCTAACACTTCAGATTGACGAAAACCACCGCAAGGGCCAGAGAGCTAAGAAGCCAAAACCAGGCCTTGAACCCTTCGCCCCCTTACACTTGGGATTTAGGGCATCGTTTAGGGTTCAGGGTTAAAGGTTTATGGTTTAGGGTTAGGGGTTGGGCGAGCTCCAATCAAGCCTGTGAAAAAAGGGTTAAGGGTTTAGGGTGTGTGTGTGTGTGTGCCGACTTCCCAGCTGATGATCAGAGCCTGGGTTCAAAACAGGATGTTGAACGTTCAGGGTTTGCAATCAACAACACAAATCGAAGCAAGCACAAGCCCAAAACAATTCTTGGGCCGCGACAGGGCCAGACCCTAAAATAATTCGCAAAGAAACCCGAAACTCTATCAAGAATCCGAAGACAGCTCACACCTAAACCCCATGCCTTTGCACACAAACCCCAAACGCTGGTCAGCCCTAACCTCCAAAAGGCCGCAATGTCATTAATAAAACAACCCCAACCTCAAACCCTAAGCCGAAAAAGGAGCCACAAATTCGCCAAAAGGGGCTAGCCAGGGTCTGGGATTTGGGGTTTAGGCAACCACCCTTTTAAACTCAACCTACGTCGACCACTTTCTTCCCCACTTGCTGCCAGGTTGAGCTGATGCATAGTCAGAAGGCGGCAGACGCTGAGGCGGACGTCGGACACCCAGACCATCAACTTGGGGGGTATATAGTATCGTCGTTCTAAAAGATTCGGATGATAACCGGGGACCATAAATTGGGGGCCCTTGGGAATCCTAAACTATAACCCCGTAGAGCCCCAAATCCTAAACATTCCAGAGGTGTTTTGGGACCCTGCAACGAGGAACAGTATTGAATCTCCTACGGTGCCTAAACTCCGGAATCCTTATCGTAGCCCCAAAATCGATCCCGTTAAGGAAGCGTTATGGGAACCTTACGCCCTGAACCCCTCCAGGGAAGTCCTAAAAGAACCCCCAAAAGAGCCCTTCAGGTCCCTCCGTCGGAATCTTTGTAGCAATCCCTTCATAAAATCCCCTTGAGCCTTGTAGGAATTTACCTTGAAGGAGCCCTTAAAGAAGCCCCATTCAGGGAAGCCTCAGAGTAACACCTTGTTTGATCCCGTTACGGAAGCCTGAAAGGAACCCGTTTTGGGAACCCTTGAAGGAACCTCCCAAGAAACCCTTCAAGGAAACCCTAAACCCTAAACCCTAAACTTCTAGATCCCATTACTTTTGGGAACCCCTAAAGATCCCTTTCGGGAACCCTCGTCGTCACCCCTGTATGATAGCTTTAAGGAGCTCCTGAAAGGACCTTGTTACAGGGGCCCTCCGTAAGCCTTTGTGGTCAAACTTCAGGCCGAGGCCGCTGAGGCCAGGGCCTTCGAGGAAGATGCAGAGCAGATGGAGCCCGACTGACGCGCAGAGTTGGGTTTAGGGTTTAGGGTTTAGGGTTTGTTTTTTTGTTCTTTGCTTGTTTCGAGTGTTTTTTGGTCGTCGTTAAAAAACACGTCGTTAAAGACATAGACGCGCACCCGTAGCATCGCTGGGTACTTAAGGTGTTTATTGCCAGCACTGATACAAACGCTCTCAAATGCCTGACGGTAGAGGAGGTTGCTCGGATGGTAGAAATGAGGTAGGCACACACACACATAATATATATATATATATATATACATGTATGATTATCTTCACCCGAATACATACACATATCTACGCGAGGCTGGCATCATCATCGCTTGGTATCGTTACAAGCTAATGCTAGCATTATTCCTCCTGGTTTTGTTGCGATTACGCTTGTTGTCATTATCAACATTACGTTTCGTGTTTGTTGACAGTCGTTACGCAATGGTCATGATTAGCCGTACTCGTGTTTTCGTGTACTCGGGTGGCTTGTGTGGTCGTGGGCTAGCGGCTAGCGGCTGGGGTTTGGTTCCTGCTCCATGGCCAGGACCTTAGGTTTTGGAGATCTCCCGTTCCCAAGGTTTGGTGTTTCGGGGTTTCTACTACTTGCAGGAGCCTATGCTGCGCAGCTTTGCCACTTTTGGCTCATAGAGAAGAAAATGCCTCTGGGGATGTGGACAAGAGGCTGAGTAGACCATGGGACCGAGCATTGCTTCCATCTGCATCTGCCATGCTACCGCCACTGAGCTGCAACACGCAGCTATGTGGCATCCGGTAGTTTTTCTCAGAGAAAGGGGCCTCCTTCTCCGAGGCATGCTGAATCATGCACTTTATCGATCTCAACGTAACATACACAAGCCGATAGAGTTGAAGCGATGCAATAAATCGCTGTTTTTTTTTACAAAAGCCACATCTTTTCGCTTGCTTCGGTGTATGCGTGTAGTATCCGCAGCCAGGGTAATCTGTAACCCCGCCACTCCGAGAAACTCTCATGTACAGAGCCGTGGTCCGGCTTGGCCAATGATCAGGATTTAGGAAACAAGCTTAGGTCCCTAAGCCCTAAAGCGCAAAAGGCCCGTCCTTGCTAAGTAGGAGAGAAAGAACCCTAAACCCTAAGCCACGGTACCTGCCTAAAGCCATCGAGAAAGACCCTGGACTTCCAACCCTTCCATTCGCACAGAAATCCATGTAGACGTGCTACGTTGCGTACAGGGGCCGAAAAGTTACCAACACTATTCCTTGGGGTTCTTGTCAGTTCTTGTTCTCAATCTACTCTAATGTACACGTACACAAGTTAAGGCCCGCACATGATAGAACCCTCGCACTAGCCTCACGGAGCCCTTAACGGAACACGCTCTACGCGACTAGCCGGCTCGAGCTTGGCTATCCACGAGCCCCTCTAAGCGATTCTTGGGATACACTTTATCTTTTGGGCCTCTCACTGAACTATGTACTCAAAGCTGAATGCAGTGGGCAATTTGGGGCTCTTCGTGTCAGTTGCGCCTTTGGTCCCTTGCAAATTACGTGAATTACGAGGTTTTCGGGCGGGGGTTCTAGGGTTTAGGGTTGCAATATAGGCCTGGATGCAAAAGGGTTGAGTGCTTCACGGATCAAGGTTTAGGGCTTCAGGGTTTACGGTGTAAGGGCTCAGGGTTCAGGGCCTGAGGGTTGAGGCCGTGAGGGTTTAGGGTTTTCCATAGGGTTCCAAGAAATCTGCGTCCCCCAAAGCCCAGACTTTTGGGAACTGCCTATCTCCAGCGATGGTGCTGTAGGCTCTTGCTTCGTTCAGGGGCCGGGCCATGAAACAACCGGTCTCACCTGCCCATCGGCATTCCGAAGGCTTGCGAAAGGGCGGGTTTGTAGCAGAGAATATAAAGGGGCGGAAAAATTAGCAATGCGATTCCTTTGTGCCTTCTAGTGCTTACAACACAGCATGCCCAAACGCCTGTTCCAATTGTTCTTGAGGCCCCGCTATCAAGGGTCTAGAAGATCTTTCTTGCCCCCTAACCCGGGCCCTTCAAGAGCTAGGACGACGCCTCACGCCGCGTCCAAAGGATCCGGCAGCTCCACCCGCGAGCGGGAAAAAAACCGTGCCGATCTGCTGTTGCTCACTGGCTTTGGGCTTAAATGCGGAAGCCTAAACCATCAGCTTAGACTCTAAACCCTAAACTTGAGGGCTTCTGCGCAGTTTTTGTTTGGGGGTTCTTCGGGGTCGAGTCACGACTCATGTTCGACCCTGGTGGCGGGGCCTGAAAGGACTAGTAGCACTATTCCGTAGATTTAACTATAGGTAAGGGTAGTCTTTAAAGTGCCATATACTCGTTTCCTGAGAAGGTTGGAGCTTTGAGAAGTCGCAAGCGTCGTTTCGACTTCCGCTTCTTAAGTTCAAGCCAAGGATTGAACACTGTTACAGACGTGGCCCTTCCTTAAACGGCCCTAAACCCTACCCTACCTTTCACTTTGAATACCTTAAGACCGAACCTGAAGATCCCAGCAGCTTCTTTTTGGGCTCAGCTTGCGCCCTTTTCGCCCGTTGCCCGGGCCCCTGGCGGCGCGGTCAGGGATGGACCGAGAAAGCGATGCGGCAACTTGGACTATATTTTCAAGGGCCAGCGGCTCGAAAGTAGGGGCGGAATATTTACGACACAATACTATTTCTGATTCGGGTTCCGGATTGTATCTGTTATCTGTAGTACAATTTACACCAAAACCATATTGCACAAGCATAATATACACATATATATATATATACACACACACACATGCAAGGTTCATCTGGGCTTAGGGCTTTTAGATGTTACCTAAGGTTCAGGCTTTCTGAAACATGACAGGGTTTAGCTGCGGTTAGGGCCGCTGGTGTTTGTGGTTACTTACCTGGCTGATGCCCTGTGCTTGCCCTGTCGTGACCTGCCGTTTCGTAGGGTCTGGTGTCGCAGGTACTTCTATCAAAGACCCAAAGGCCATTCGGGTCTAAGGGTTTAGGGTTGGGTCCCTCTGCAAGTAAAGGTTTGGGCTTTCCTTCTGCATTTAAACGTCGCGCTTTCTCTAGCTGGCTTGATCAGCACATGGGGCAGGCCCACAGTGACCTTATGCCGAAGAAGTCTGCAATGTCCCCCATCCCCCAAGAAACCTTGACACAAAGGTCTGAAGTCTCGAGGGCACTCCCGGATCTAATTAAGTGGAAGGTCCTGTGGGCTCGGAAAATGCTGCGGGGTTCGACTGTGGGGTTGAAGCCCACTTTTGGGGTGAGGGGAGACATTCGGGCCATCACGGTTTAGTTGAGGCTTTGTAGGTTTAGTCGGCCTTGGCGCTTCAAGTCGAGAAATATGGAGACCCCTTGAGACCAAGACGAGGGTCTGGCGATCAGGGCTTAGTCTTCAAATCGAGAAACATGGAGACCCCTTGATACCCAGATCAGGGTTTGGATGGTCGTTCTTCAGCCTCCTGCAGAGCCTCAGCTGTCTCCTCGCGAGGGCGACGAGCAGCCCCGACAGAAGAGATCTTCCATTTCTCTCGTGGGAAGGTTCATCAAGCTGCCTGGCTTTGGGACTTTGGGGTGCCAGATATGGAAGATTTGTACGATCTAGAATAGAAGCCTGAACCGCTGATGTTCCTGGGGGTTCCTGAGATAAATTGAAACATGCCTATACCTCAAGCCCCTGTTCCAATCCTCTACGCTAGAATCAGCCCTAAACCCTGAACCCTAAACCCTAAACCCTAAACCTTAAACAGAAGGGTTGTTTTGGGAGCCTCTTCTCTGCAGACCCAGGCTCCTAGACACGGGATCTGCGGGATTTCGCATTCCAACTTCGTGAGGGGTTGAAGTTTGGGGTTTGTGCTTTTGGTTTCGCCAAACACTCCCAGAACAAGAATCCCTTCAAGTCTTGGGTTAAGAGTTGCAATACGCTATCATATAGCACTATAGCATACTACAGTTGCAGACGGAGCAAAGCCCGAAGAAGTACGCACCCCTATACCGGCGACCGTGCATCAATGGAGCTAAGCCTAGAAGTCTCCTCTTGAAGTTAGAAGCTCGATCATCCATCAACCAGCATCCTAGACTTCCGGAACCCTAGAATTCCGTACCACACTACCCTCGCTCTTTTTGAGGAACTGAAAAGAGACCATAGTCGGGATACAGTGATACACAATATATAAAGTGCTTTCCTGGTTACGGCAGCTGAAGTCATGTTCCTGGTCACGCTCTGACCCCCGTTATGAGCCTTCTGAAACCCTCATACAAGGTTGTAAACCCCCTACAGAGGACATGTCCGTGCCGGTCCTTGGGATTGAGGTCTTACAGCGTCTCCGATGGTCAATCACACCAGGACCGATGCTCTCAGTTTTATGGTGTTGGGGTGGCAGGATTAGATATTGTGTTGGGTTTTAGAGTTTGGGTTTACGGTTTAGGGCTTTGCAGTATGCAGGTGGACCACGTCGGCGTTGTACCCGTCGTTGTTTGTCCCCGTGAGTGCAGGTCGAGGTTCGACTGGAACCCCGCTTTGGTAGACGACAATCTGCCATCATATATTTTATTATACGAAGCATAAGGAGCACTGTGCTTCGTATAGTACTATACCAAGGTATACTACTCGATGCTCTACAGTAGAATACTGTCCTGTACCATGCTATAGTTTGTTGTGGAAACGATGTTGTGAAGGAATCCTTTTAGCAAGTCGACTTGCTTGGTCCGTTTCTTGGATGGGATCTGGAGGTTTGGGGTTTTGGGCTGTAGTTCAAACTCGACACCTCACACGTGGTGGGTTAGGAGCACGGGCGCTCAAGCAGAGCCATCAACAAGTCGAAGAAGCTTGGCTCAGAATATGTGTAGGTATCTGTCTACAAGGGCTCTCGCGCGCTACACACATACACACACATACACACACATACATACATACATACATACATACATACATACATACATACATACATACACACACACACACATATATATATATGTATGTGTGTACACGTACATGTACACCTTGTATGCTGCGCACGAGTCGCTGGCCATATTATGTAGCAAAGAGGCCACACACATACGCACATGTACAGGCACTACACATGTGTATACATACACACTTACCCAAGTGCACGCGTTCTTCGATGCGTGTACATAAAGGAGCTGTTTGTATATGGCCATGTGCATACATTTGCTTACATACATACATACATACATACATACATACATACATACATACGTACACACATACATACATATAATACATACATGCACGCACACACACACACACACACGCATGCCCACATACTTACATGCTTACATACTTACTTACTTGCTTACTTACCTACTTTCTCACTTACATATTTATATGCCTACATGCGTGCATCCGTGCATCCACCCATCCACCCACGCATCCACCCATCCGTCCATCCATGCATGCATGTGTGCATGCATGCATCCAGGCATGCTTCGTTGAGTGCGGGAAGACATGCGCCTGCTTGCAAGTTTTTGATATCTTCCTTGTCCCTTGTGCCGGGCTTCCCAAGGCTTCGTTCATTACTGTATCAAGTGGTTTGGGGCCTTCAACAAGGGTTTTGGGCTTCAGATCCAAGAGTTGTCGGACCATCTAGCTTGCACTGGCGGTTCACGGGAGCTGTACTCAAGCCTCAGACACGAGTCCGGAACCCAAGACCCCAGGTCTCAGAATCTCATCACGTGGTACAAGCATCCTGACCTGCAGCCGAGGAAGATTCTTCGCAAGGTCTTCAGCAGTTACCGCCTCCCTGATGCAGAAGAGCGCCGCAGGAAAGGTCGGAACAGACTCAGAGCCTCCAAAGGCCTACTACGGTGGGGGCTATCAGCCGGGGGGTTTCAAGTCATAACCTGGAAGTACACGATGGTCGCGAAGACCGAACCCTAGACTGTAAACGGTCACCTCGAAAACAGCAGACGTCAGCCAAGGCTTTGGCAACTTCATGTGCCTCGGTCGTGACAAGTGTGGCTGAGAGTCCGTGACCAGTGACTTAGCAATCGGCGTGCAACGGAGTAACGGCACTTGCAGGCTAATTATCTAGCGAGCCCCAGTTAAGTTTGGGTCTGGCAAGGAGGAGGGTTTTGGGGAGCCGTTTATGCGGCTAGAAAATCTGAGCATTAATCAGAAGAAGAGGAAGCAAAACACTTAAGCTGTGGCAGCTTTCGGAAAGTACGGGCTGGCAGCGGGTTGGCCAAGAGCATACCGTCGCCGTAGGTTCTACACCTTGTTTTGTTCATTGGGAATTTTAGAGAGTCTGCCATCACACCTTGTTCCAGAACTTCTAGATAAGAAGCCCTCCTCTCAAGCTGCTTGTTCTGTAACTAATTCCATGCGACGTCCCGGCTAGCACTCCACCATGGACCCGAGATCAGGCTGATGGTGGTCCTCCTTGATGCATACTGCACTTGCCGGGATATTGACGCTCGCGCCGCCACCGGCGACACTGGGCTTTGACCAACGCTTCAGAGCCTTTTTGTTTCTACATGTGCAGCAGAGCCTCCTGAGCCGTCCATACATAGCCACTGCAGCTTCACCTCGGCCTTCTTTTCACCATTCGCAGCATACCACAAGTGAACCCAAAGGCCCTCTCTCCTAACTCGCCAGCCTCATCTCTTGAGGTCGAAGCCGAGGATGTCTTCACCTTGCTGTCAGACATCTGCCTCGTGCTGTACTCCGTGGAATTGTGCGGGCTCCTCTTCGTACCTTGGTCAGCAGTGCGGTCTAAGGTTTGGGAAATCGAAACGGAGATTGGGCGTTTCAGGCAAAGGAACCTTAGACCCCAACGCCCGAAATCCAACATCAGCGGTGTACAGTACCTTACAAGTCCTTTAGGTGGTGGCCGTAGTACATCAAGCACACGTTGTTGGTCGTCGTCGCGTGGTAGTAGCGATAGTAGTAAGTAGTAGTCGTCGTGGTAGTATGTTGTTGTCGTGGTAGTGTGCAACAAGCCGCTTGGCATCAGTGCGTCTGAGGTCCGAGGTTGGGAGATCCTCAAAGACTGGTTCATAGTTCTGGACATCTTGGTGGTGATCTGTGGCTGCGTCCCTGGCCCAGAAAATCGCGAGTCTATATCGCTAAACCGAATCCAGAATCCTGCAGATCTTGCAGGCAGGATTCTCGTCATGTTTCTGCATAGCTTTCTGGCCCTCCTTTCGAAGCACTCCGAACTTCCAAAGCCGACTTTCGTGGTGCTCACGGCACCATCTCAGCGGTAGGGGTTCTTGTGCTCGGGCTTTGGCTGAAATTTGTTCTTGGGGTTTTCGATTCGGAATTATGGTGGCAGCACTGTGACACCTTAAACACCCGAAGCCAAATCGCTGCGTAGTCATCGCTTGGCTTCCCCTTTAGCTGTGAGCAGTTGAATGCGGGTGTCTGCACGAAAGATGACGAGTATCATCCGAGGATACTGATCAACTCTCTATTCCTTGAGCCCACCAACCCTAAATCCCCAAACCCAAAATCTTCAAGGCCCCCGAACCGCATAATCTTAAAGGCCCCCCGTAATCAGTGCATGTCAGGTTGAGTTTATCCTCGTGCAGGTCACGCCGAGTGCGGCTCGGCCGCCTCAACCCCGAGACTAAGTCTAGTATAACATAGTGTAGTACTATAGATATAGCATAGTATGTTATACTTCAGCTATAATATCATACAACATAGTATCATATGACACATTATAACACAACGTCCTAAACCATAGCTTCAGGATGTAAGGCTTGGCTTTGGGGTCTGAGGTTTTGTGGTTCAGTCGTGCGATTGCAATAAGACCTTTTCAACTAGCCCCGGCCCGAGCCCGGGTTTGGACACATCGGTCGAAGGGTTGTGGCTACGGGTTTCCGGCTTGGGCATGTTATCGCTTCCGGCTTATTGGTGTTGGTACCACTGGTAAGAGATTCGTAGTCGTGCCCGACCGACAGAACATGTCAGCAACTAAGTCGAAGTCTGCTGCAAGCCTGGCTCGACAATGACTGTGCTCAGAAAACAGAGACGTGGAAGAGTCACACATGCTTAAACAGCTGAGGCATTAGGTGCCCTCTGAAACCCGTATACAACCCTATAATCGCCATTAAGGCCTCCTCTTAAGCCAGTTAGCCACCCTGATGACACGGGGATCCTGAACACAGCTGCTGCATGTGAGCAAAACTGCGCAGACCCAAAATCCTTGGGCTCCTCAGCCTACGATCGTGGGGGTCCGCAAACCCTACCCTAAACCCTGCACCTCTAAACCCGGAAAATCCCGAAGCCGAACAAAAATCCTAAACCAAAAGCAGGAGCTGGTGCAGAAGATGAGCCTTCTGAGAGCTCTGAGGCTGGCGAGGACCCATCCGAGCCGGAGGTTTCCATTAGGGTTGGAAAAAACGGTTCTTGAAAGATCACATGTATGGGTGGTTGTCAAAAATTATGGTCCCTTTTGGGTCCTTATGATAATACGGCACCTATTATTTAGGCTACCCCAAAAGGGACCATAATTTTGACAACTACCCATATATACAGCTTAAAACTAAAATAGATACACCCTGAAACCCTGAACCCCTTTGCTGCTAAGGTCTTTCATTGAGTTTTATGCGGTTATAGGGGCTTCTCGAGAGAGTCCCCTTCGTTCTCGGCTAGGGAACAGAACCCGAGTCGTATTCTTAGATAGCCTTAGGGTTTAGGGGTTAGGGTTTAGGGTTTAGGGTTTAGGGTTTAGGGTTTAGGGCCAATGGCCAATGGCCAATGGGAGAACTTTAGGCCTTTTGGCCTTACATGCTTAGAAAGACTGAAAAAGACAGTATCTAGGAACCCTGAATGGTTAGCCTAACAGATGTTACGTAATGGCTCGGGAAAATAGAAACAAACGTGGCAGGATCTTCCGGTTAATGCGGCTGCTGCGAAAGATCCGAGCTCTTCGGGAGCTGCATCCCGATGCATTTCGGATGTGGGAGCCGGGCTCAGGAGGCTTTAAGGCATGAGGTCTGCATGTTTTGACATTACACCATGATGCCAGGCTCTTAACTTTAAACGCTTGAACCCTCACACCACGCCAGGCATCGAGCGCGAGAGCCGAAAAATATCAGAGCGTTCAGCAGGTACAAGCTCGTTACCATGATGTCGACCTGTCTCAAGACTCTGCTGTGGTCGTCACTTGGCCTACATCTGGACAGCAAGCCACAACGAGGTTGGGGCTTGGGGGTTTAGGTAGATTCAGCATCACAACCTCGAAATAGTTCCCTCAGCTGTTCAGTGTGTGGACCGGGTCATGCTGGTGTGTTAGGGGGGTTTCGCGTGTGCATTCTGTGGACGAGAGTGTGAGCTAGGGCGTGGAGAGTTTGTTTCTAGACGATCTGATGAGCTGAGGGACTGTCCCAGAAAGGATACCCAGGCCCTGGGCAAGACATTCAGTTCGTGGTGGGTGGACTACTGAAGTCTACGAACCGAAGGGCTTCAAGCTTAGAACACCTGGAAGCACAAACTGGCCGGCCGCTCTCGCGGTTGTCCTTGACGTGGCACAGTCTTCTGGTGCGGCCGGGCGGACACCTATACCGCATCGTCACCAACCGAATCACTCGTAGAGATTTGGCCGGGAGTCCCACCTTTATGTTATCTCGCCAGGTTTAGGGGTGCTTTCAGAAACCGGCCAAGTAAGTATTCGGATCTTTTATTGTAAGAAAGGTTCCTGCTTCATCGAGGTTTCTCTTCTGCTTCATTGTGATGACAGTCTGGGCCATGCTTATAGTGGAGGCGAGCCGAAGACCGCGAGCTGTCAAGATGCCTTGCTTCAAGGAGTTTGGGACTTGGGGAAGGAGGTTAGGAGTAACTAGGATCAGGCCACGAGCCATAGAATCCCAAGCTTGTTTTAGGGCCTTAGTAGCTATAATTATGAGCAGGCTTTGGAGCGTATATGGGCGTATTGCGTGTGCGTTACCTGTATTGTTGATTAGTTCTTCAGGCATAGATTTGCCGAAATGCGGGGCAGGTCGTGAACCCCATTGTGGTGCAGATGGACAGCGACGGTGCCTTTGACGACTGCAGTGCCTTGGTGGAGTTCGTTCGTTGAGCAGTTAAGCTTGCGCCTTGGAACCTGTAACCGCAACCTTAATGGTTCAAAGTACCTGGTAACCAGATATTCTCCGTCCTAAAGCCAAATGCCAATACAACCGTCGGATACCTCGGACCCTGTAGCCCTAAACCTTGAATCAACACTTCCGAATAAGGTAGGGCTCAAGTGTTGGGTTTGCAACGACCGTTCTTTGTGTTCAAGAAGCCTCGACTCTCTTGCTAGCTGGTTACATCGTTGTCTCAAGAACGGACTCGCGCTATGTTGGGAAGCCCCACGTTGCGTTTCGGTGTTTGTTTCTTGTTATACAAGTTTGTGGCGGATGAAGTCGATACGTGCGGCTTTTGATCTGAACCTGATGTCCCAAGCGTCGCTGCAGCCTGAGAGCACCCGCAACACCTAAGCATGAATCCCACTCTACAGCCTAAACTAACCTGTACGCGCAAGCTCCCACTGGCGAGGCAATGGTTTCTGCACGGTTTCCACCTCCTCGGTGCTCCATGCGTCACGTGGTGGCGGTGAGATGCCGGTGTACGGCCACATGTAAATCAGAGTTGCGTCATACTGTTGGGATTTTCACTGTTATCCCATCTACCCAGCTCCGGTATTCGTCACAGATTTTGAACACACCGCTCCGTCCTCAGCCCCCGTGCTCCAATGTCGACACCTCCCTAGCCGAGTCTTGCCGTTCCGCAGCCCTCAGCTCATCTGCGCCCTATGCCCTATGCCCTGCCCAAGCGAGTCTCGCGTAAGGAATCTGCTCCTTTTCCAGACTGTCATCGCCGGTGATGGCTGGGGAGAAATGGCAACCCGGCTGTCATGGTCTCTTCAGGATGTCCGGTTCAAGTTGTTGGAGCTTGGTCAGAAGCGCTGAACCCGGACCAGTCTTTGGTTTTTTTGGCACATGTAAGCTGTAACTTCTAGACTTCTACACCCTCACAGAAGTTCCCCCAACCCCGAAGCTTGAACCATACCTTGTGCAACCATAATAACACTCTGCAAGCCCCGTATAAGAACACACCGAAATCCACCGCCTCGAAAACAAGCTGTCCTTAAAGAAGCCCTGACACTCCAGCAAAGAACAGCGACATCGGGAACCTTTATATACCCTTAAAAAATAGACCCTTCTGCTTTTATATGGGAAACCTTCGTAGAATTCTATGCTCATCGTTGCTGAACTGAGGCCACGCCCATCATCTTAAAGCATCCGGAGACGGCGATCATCTTCATCGGCTCCCTCCTGACTTTGGTCTTCGGCGTGTGCCTTCTTCGAGCTTTAGAGTAGTCAGTTTAGGAATCAGGATTTACGTAGGCTTTGGGGGTTGGGCTTCAGTTTCCAACAGGGATCAGGGTTTCAGGCTTTTCGGGTCTATGGAGCTTTAGATTTCAGAGTTTAGGGATGTGGAGTTTCGGCTTTTGGGGTTTTGGATTTGCCGTAGGGGCGTGTTCGGGTAGGGACTTGTGGTGTTTGGGGGGTGTGCGACGCTGGGGTTCAGGGCTTGGGGGCCTGCACCTTGTGGTCGGTTAGTAGGTTTGATAGTGGTGGATCTTTGGGCCTAAACCCTAAACCCTAAACCGGGTTCAGTTCAGAGTTGCGGGATGCTTAGGGTGTTCTGTGTTGGTTGGTTGAAGGTTTAGGGTTTGGAGCGGCGGATTTGGGTTTCGGCACAGGCGTTGAGCTATGGCGGCTAGATTGAAGGGTTCGTGCTGCAGTGTGCGTAACTCAGAGAGAGACAGAAGCATGACGTGCTGGGATAGCTTCTACTCTACTTCAAGGGTTAGGGGTGAGGGCTCAAGGACACTAAATGGCGCTCAGATGATATGCAATCCTTCTCCTTCTTTCTCTGGCTTTCGGCAGAAGAGCTCAGTCAATCTGGTCTTTGGCCCTGGGTCGAGTTTCCAAGGTGACGGGCGATGTATAAACCCCTTTTCTGTCAAGGGAGAGGTCCTGGTCCCAGTCGTCAACATCAATAAGAAGAACAACAGCAATAGTGTTCAATAGTGGCAGCAAGGAGTAATACCCTGCGCCACATCTGTTTGGGGGACAGGCCTGAACCCCGAAATCTAAGCCCAACTCCATGGGCGACCCTCGACCAGGGGTTTTTACAACTTTGGCAGGCTCAACCTTATCGTGGCGGTGGTCGTGGCATGGCAGATACTTTTCGAGCGTCCAGTGTCAGGGGGCCGGATGTTGCGTCTGTCAACCGATGACAGTACGTCGTGCATTCCTCTGGAAACACAGTTTTCCGTGGTCTGGCATGCTACAAATCATACCCCGAATCCGACCCGGCACCCCAGAGTTGATGATTCCCCCATCACGGTCTCTGGGATCGAAGATGCGAGGCACCAAGTAGGCCAGAGCAGGATGATGAAAAAGACTTCAGCAGCAGGGAAGCCCGACAGCTCTCCTGTAAGAGCTGATGCCCACATGACGATATCAACGTAGCCACATTGCAGCTGAACGCCGTCTACATGGGGTTCCTTGGTTGGTAGACTCCGCATTTTCTTGGAACCTGAGAGCATAAATCAAAGGCGCACGGGCAAGCAACGATGTTTCTTCTTACGAATTTACAAATGCCCAGAGAAGGCTAGCCTTTAGAACCGCTTTTTTCCCATGGTCCCAAGTACCCGCAGGTGGACACTTTTGCAGAGGCGCGCCAGCACGACATACTCAACCTCGCAGCAGCGCGGCTGCAAAGAGGTCACCTACAGCCTACTCGAGCCAGAACCTACTATGGAAATTGTATGCACGCTCGCAGGAAGAGGTTGTGGCAGGTTCAGTCAAGTGAAACCATAATTATGCGCTCCGTGAGCCCTCAGCCCCATGCACCAAGCTCAGGGCCTGATTTGTTTTCATGGGAGCCTGAACAACTACCGAGACCACCCCTTTAGGGTTTCAAGTGCATGTACTATGGTAGGTAGGTAGGTAGGTAGGTAGGTAGGTAGGTAGGTAGGTAGGTAGGTAGGTAGGTGGGTAGGTAGGTAGGTAGGTAGGTAGGGCCCGACCAACGGTAGTTACCGCGGTCACCGCACTCTTCCCCCTCCGTATCTCAGGGTGTGCATGTACTATGATGTACCCCAAAACTCGACTCGAATTATGAAGCCCCTTGTTTGGCTTGAGCCAGCGGCTGGTGTGATGCTTTTGGCGAGCCGCAAAGGTGTAGTGGCGCAGGTCGGCACATGGACTTGGCCTTGCCCTCATTGCGATGTGGTTTTTGAGGGGCAAAAGCAGCCGTAACTTGTCGAGCAGGCGTACTTCGCACATGTTGTTTCGCCACAAGGACATTCCCTTTGAAGACCGGGGCACCAGAATCAATCGCACCGAGATTGTTGAAGCCAGCTTTGATGTTCCAGAAGGAGAGCGTGACTGGGAGTGCCCCTTTTGTCACAAGTTCCTCCCGCAGTTTGGCAACTACCACCAGAAGCAAAAGAACGTTCAACGTTCGCCACCACTACGACACGAAACACCCGCGCAGGAATACATCTCCTGGGGCCATACAGAAGGCTTTGGCCAAGAGCGTCAAAAAGGACCCCAGCAGATTCCCGAAGAAAAAGAGTGGCTACATGCAGGCCGCAGCCAAACGCAGGGCCAAGGAGCGAGACCTTGGCCTAAATGGTCACAAGCTCATCGCTTTTCAGCCGGTGTGGAGCGAGTGGCCTCGGCCGAAGAAGGGGAAACCCCAAAAAGGCCAGCTTTTCACTTGCCAAAAGTGCTGGGGCATCGCTAACTACAACAAGCACATGTGGAAGCCTTGCACGGGTTCGCGTGGCGTGGCGAGCAGGCAAGCAGTGAACCGGTGGGCTGGCATTTGTGCCGGGCCATCAGGCGACAATGTTTCCACGCTGTTGGCCTGCTGGGGCACCACCGAGGCGGAGGCTGACATGTTCTTCAACCACTTAGTGGAGGAGGGAGTGGAGCCGAATCCCGGACCAGAGACGCCTGGCGGCGCTGATGATGATGACGATGGCGGCTCCGACGATGATGACCCGGACCCGGGTGATCCTTCCTCTACGGCTTCGCATGAGCAGTTTGACCAGACTCAGTCTTCTACGGCACGCTCTTCCGTGAGAGTTTCTTGCGTGAACGTTCGGGACGGCCCGGGGCTTTGGAGACTTGTCAAGATCCTGGAATGTGACTCTAGTTTTACTGACGTCATTTGCATTCAGGAGTCCTGTATCCATGCCGACGAGTACAACACGGTTGCAAACAAGTTTTCTGCAATGGGCTTCAAGTCTTACTGGGCCGAGGGTTCTCCTGGTAAGAAGGCCACCGGTGGTTGCATCACGGTGGTTAGGTCTACTATCCTGCGTCGGGTCGTGGAGATTTTCTCCGGCGGCCCACACTAACACGTCTGTATCGAGTTCAAGTCCTCGTGGATGGTTTGCAATATTACATTCCGGCCCGCCAGCACCTTCGTTACATCGCACATCAAGCTTTTACTGAGATTTTGCACAAGATAAAGTTGTCCGCAGGTGGCAGGCCTTGGATTGCCCTTGGTGATTACAATGCCCTGCCCCAGGAAATGGAGGCGGTTTTCAGCCCTCATGGTGGCACTTTATTCTATCAGCAGTGCAGATTTCAGAGCAACAGATATATCGATCATATTTGGTCTAATGAGCACAATTTTCTCGCAGAGGGCAATGTCCTTCCCCAAAGGTCAGCGATCATAAGTGGTTTTCTACTAGCCTGCCTCTAAGGTGGGACGCTGAGTCACACCGCTGCGTTCGCCGCAGGGGCCACGTTTGGTCCTCTCCGCCCGGGGTGCCTTTTGCTACTTGGAAGGAGCATCTTGCAGTCACCTGGGAGCAGTGCGACAGGTCGTTTCTTCTTGAAAGCTTCGCTTCTGCAGAAGCTAACCCGGGCCAAGCCACTGTTGACATGGTCTGAATGGAATTCTCTGCATAATTTTTTCTCCGTTGCCACGAGTTCGTTCTCCCAGTCCTTGCAGGGCTCCTCTAGGACTGGTCTCGCAGCTTGGAGCAAGAAAGCTGAACAGGCGGGTTCTAAACCCTCCAAACCTCACTTGCAGTGGATTCCAAAGCTCGTGCGGCGCGAGAGCGGGAATATGTCCTGCCGCAAACGTTGCAACTGGTTGTCTAGAGCAGAGCGCGTGTTGGAGCTCATGAACAAGAGCTCTCGCTCGCACAATTAAGACACAGAGCTGCAAAGATTAATGTGCAGAATACGCCGCCGCATGCCTTCAACTCATGAGTTTCCTGTCTTCGTTCGGCAGCTTGCGGAGGAGATCAAGCAGACACAGAAGCAACAAGCACAGGAGGAGCGTGAAATTAAGAATCTCTGCATTCAGCGCTGGCGCCATTCCATGCAGCACAGCGTGAGTGAGCGATGTAAGTGGCTTCGTAAGAGCAAGCAGCGCCGTCCTTATGTGCTTCATGGGGACCGGCAGCTCGACAAAGACCAAGACATCCTCAATGCCATCTGCGAGCACTGGCAGGCCACGTGGCGAGCCTGCAAGCAAGCTCCTGTTCAGCCCAAGATTCAGGTGGTGCTCAACAACCTTCCAGAGCATGTGCCGCTCTCAGGGCGGCCAGATCTTGAAGACTTCAGCACTGCTTTGAAGGAGCTTGGCGGGTCTAGTGGCCCAGACGACTGGCAACTTGAGGAGTTGCGCTGTCTTCCTCCAGGTGCCATCCCGCTCTTCTCTCGCTTGACTTGCATTTGGGAGGCTTCGGGGTGCACGCCGGGAACTTTGAAGTACAGTCGCCAAGTCAACTTGGCAAAGCCGCACAAAATCGTCAATGGATGCACTAAAAGCTCAGATCTTCGCCCAATCAATGTGTACTCGCTTTGGTACCGTTGGTGGTGGAGTGGGTCATGGGCCATGGGCCAAAAGCAAGCTTCTTCGGAGCTGGAGGCAGTGTGTTTTTCCTGGTGAAATCACGGGTGGCTTAAACAGCCCGGGCTCGGAGCAGTTGGCCGCCAAACTTCAGGATGCCCTGGTTCAGCATGGCTACTTGGCCACCCTGGACCTGGACTACTCCCTGGCCTTCGATCATGTCGTTCCGGCCGCGGTCTCTCTGGGCATGGAGCGCTTAGGCCTTCCGAAGGCCTTGTCCTCTGTTTTGCTTGATCAGTGGACACCCAGAAGCGCATCCTTCAATGGCACTTTTGCACTTTTTCCAGACTGCTATGTGCTGACATGTCGGTGCCGCAGGGTGACGCCTTGTCCCCCTTGGCTCTTAACATTTTGATGTTTGCGGGCTTCAACTACGTTAAGAGACACTGCGCGGCTTCTCCCACTCAGAGGCTCCACGTTGTCTACATGGATGACAGGTCTTGGACTTCTTCTTCGGCTCGGTTGCTCCTGGGCACGGCACGTTGCGCACTTGGCACAGCTTCAGTGCGCGGGCCGGCCTGCGGGAGAATGAGACCAAGACTCAGATCACTTATGCCAACCCCGACAGAAAGCAGGACTTGCTGACTGAGATCGGCGAGGATGAGACGCTCCTCAAGGCCCTGACTTCCTCGGCGGTCGTCTTGGGTTGTGGTACTCCCTGCGAAGAGCAACGCCAGCCCAATGACAAGGAGCTCCAGCGCATTCAAGATGCTCAGCACACCTGCAAGCGGATACGGCTGCTTCCCTTGGCACATACAGAGAAGCTGTTCACGGCTCGGCTCACTGCGGTGAGCAAGGCTGCCTTCGGCTGGGTCGCTGCGGCTCCTTCGGAGGCTTTGTCCAAGGCTTTTGACACCGCTGTGCGGGCGACAAGTGATGCTTTTCGTGATGGCTCAAAGCATTTGCACAACGTGCTCCTCGGGGCCACCAGATGTTTAAGCCCCGTGGTTGGGGTGAAGCAGGTACTTCTCTGGTGCAAGAGTTTGGCACAAGAGCAATGGGACGACACCCGTCGTCGTGTGAGCACACTGCAGCGTCTCGCTCAGGACTTCCTGCATCAGGTCGGCTGGGTGTTCACCCGTGGCAAATGGGCACACAGGTCTCTTGGCCTTTTCTGGAAGACTCAAGATGGTTCCAGTAAGGCCGGCCGGGACAAAATCGCTCACATGGTGCGCGAGTCGTGGAGGCACTTGTTCTGGGTCCGATTCACTACTTCGGCCAGGCGTGACGCCATTCCTTTCAGGCGCACTGCATATGACGCAAAGAGGATCGGCCTCGTCAGAGAGCTCTTACACCACACTGATGGCGTGGCAGCGGCTCTGATTACCGGGTCCTTCACTTCTCCCGCTGCTTTTGCGAAGCGACAGGCTGTCCCTGCTCACTTCGCTCGCTGCCCGATGTGCAATCATGACCAAGCTGACCAAAGGCATTTGTTCTGGTCCTGTGCTCTTCGCAGGACCACAGGCAGACCTGCAGATGCCTTACAAGCTCGTTTCGGCTGGCCTCGTTCCAGGAAGGACACCAAGGCCCTTGAGGGCATGGCTCTCACTGTGGAGGCAGTCTGGAGTGCACGGCACGCTGTCCGTGGGTTGTGGACTACTCAGGTCTACAGACCCAAGGGCTTCAAGCTTAAAGCACGTTGGCTCAAGCGCAGTTCAGAGAAGCACAAATCTGGGAAGCACAAAGCGGCCAGCCGGTCCCGCGGCGGCCCTTGACTGAGCACATTTCTGGTGCGGCTGGGCGGATACCTACCACATCGTCACCAACCGAATCACTGTAGTGGCGCAGGTCCAAGCCTTCAGTAGAGGAGCCCCTGAGCAGCTGCTGATTTCGTCACAACTCGTGGTTCCGGAGTACATAATTATCTACATCCTCCAGATCTGCACCCTAAAACCTACTGCATAAATAGCTACGTAAAGACATGCAAAAGTTGTTGTTGATAAATCGATAATGAAAGACATCTACATCTACATCTAAATATACAAAGAATGAAGACATATGCAGCACGCGTACATATATGTATATACACACATACCGACACACATACACACATAACCCTAGTGCAAGACGCTTTTTACCCTATAGAACGAGCCCCGGTGCTTCGGCCCAGGAAGAGCTGGAGGATGACCTGGAGAAGGACACAAAGCGCCCCGGACTACGTCGGGGGGTCGGGGCTTGCTTGTCGGTAGACGGGTTCCTTCTTGAACTTGGCTTTGTGGACGGGTTCAAAGGTTTAGGGGGTTCTGCGGGGTTTTGGGGTGTTGAAGGGGTTTGGGGGTCTAGCGGGTTTAGGGGTTTTACCCCCATGTTAGGGGTGTAGACGGGTTTCGAGTGTCGGGTTTTATCGCACAGAATTGCAGGGCAGACTTGTTCCTGATACTCAGAGTATGCTCTCAGGCTTTTAGGACTGCTGCACCAAAACTTGCTAAAAGGCTTTTTGGGCATCCTAGTTACAAGGTGGCTGGGCTGTGGTGAGAGTCGGGGATGTTGAGTTCCCAGATTAATTGGACCGGTTGAACCCACCGGCCGGAAGCTCCACTCCGAAGGTGGCACTACACCGTAGAGAAGCATTGACGGATTGAACCCTATAAACCATGAAGCCTTAAAATCTAAGCCATGAAGCCCTAAGCCCTAGGCTTGCAGCCTTCCCCAGGCCCTAAACCGACGCCTCTGAAGGTTCCTGCAGAAGCTCTTCCAGCGCATCGACAGGGACTGCAAAAACGGCTTGAGGGCCTAGTAGAATTGAAGGTCCAGGGGTTGGGGCCTCTACGGTTTCCGAGCTTTACGATTTTTAGTGCAAAGAAGGTGGTGTTAGGCATGGGTTAGGCAAGGCTGGCTGGGGGCATCATATACAAGCTTGGCGTCGTTAGTAGGGGTTGTAGGATTGTAGGAGTTAACAATTGTAATGCTTGGGCGTATAGTTAGAAGTTCGCTGGTTTGGGCCTGAAGTTATGAAGATTCAATGTTCTTGTTAATTATGGTTGTGCAAAGATCCCATAAAGGAGTTATGCGGCCCTGCATGTAGATGTGTAGGAGCCTCAATTCGGCTTTAGCGCTTGAGCTCTTGGAGGTCGAATCGCATAGATTTCAAGGTAATGTAGAGCCCTCTGTAACTGCTTCAATCGTAGGATTTTAATAAGTAATAGATGCAGGGAAACTAAGACATCTGCCTCCCTAGCCTGCGTATATCCAAGTAACTGCACCCCTGGACTCTCCAGAACATTCTTTCCAGGACGTACGCAAGGCAGTCATAGTCAGGAGCCGCAAGAGGGCCTGGCTCTTAGGGTTCTGGTTTCCTCAATTCAGACCATTTGGGGCTCCTACACCTGAACTCTTGAAACCTTGAAACTCTCAAACCCTTAAACCCCCAACACCCCAACCCCTAAACCCACCCTGCAATCCGGGCTCATCCTTGCCAAGTAGGAGGGGGAAAAAATTCCAAACCCCTGAAGCCCAAACCCCAAAGTCTAAACCCTAAAACCTAAACCCCTAAGCCCTTAACCCTAAACCCCTAAACCCCTAAAGCCCTAAACCCCTAACCCCTAAACCCCTAAACCCCTAAACCCCTAAGCCGTAAACCTTTGAAGCCTTGATCCCAATTTTTGGTTCGCGAGGATGGCAGCGGTCGAGTTACGCTTGACGAGCTAATTGAGGGCGCCCGCAGCTCGCTCGAAGGAGGTTGCTGCTATAGAAGGGAGGGGTTCATGAAGGGTTTGAGGTTTGGAGTTTAGGGGCCATGGATGGCTTACGGTAGATCTGGCTCTGCAAGTTTGAGGGTTTGGTTGGTCATTGAGGGGCTTTCTCGAATCAGGATCCCAAGTTCGGGGTACGGACTAGAGTCTCCCGACTATGATTCAACTTTGCGGGGCTGCACTTTTTTCAACCAACTTTCGTTGCACCTCTTAGCTAAGACATGCGTCTTGCGTAGGAGCTTCCGGATATGAGGGGGGTTAGGGTTCCCAGGCTTCTCAGATGCCTGGCATCTGAAAGTGTCGGCTTCATGGGTTCACCCACAAGTCTGAATCATGTGCAATACAAGTAATTATATACTTGCAGAAGTGCGATTCCGTAGCGCTCAAGTGCCTTATTATTGTAAGATGTAACTATTCCAAAGCACTCATGGCAAAACAAATGTCGCAAAGCCCTTATGGTAAAGGCACATCCCAAAGCCCTGTTCGCTTCATAAAGGCCTCCATGTCCTTCCGCTTCTCCCGTGGCACGATGTGGTCTCTCATAGTGAGTGGAAGCCTCGCCCTAAACCCTTAAGCCCACCCTGGTCCTCAAGAGCTAGGCCAGGGAATTTCTTTTTTGGTGTCTGTGTGGCCTACGTTTCATATTGCTTGAGCACGTGGTGCTTTCGGGAAGATCCTGCAATCCTTTGAGCCCGAAACCGTGTTACGCTAAACTCCAGACCAGGCCTGTCCCAGTTGTGAGTGATGAAGCTCCAGACATGAGCGAAAGACCTTGAGCTCTTGAAGCCCTGTGAAGACGGCACCAACGGTTCTGCAGAGATTCAGACGCCTCCCTTGCAGAGTCTAGGGTTTCTACGATGCATGTTCCCGAACGGTGCTGAGATGGCCGCTGTGGTTCAGAAACGTTTACAGTGACCGACATGCTGCGGCCGCAAACAAGCCGTAGACCATACACCTTTAAGCCCCATTTGTGGCCCCAATTACCAACCAAGTACATGCTGAGAGTTATATTCTGTAATCAACTAAGGATCAGAATCAGCATCTGCGATTTTGTAGGCGCTGGGCATACAAGTTTTGGCCGTAAGCCCTACACCCGAAACCCTACACCCGAAAGGAGTTGTGGATTCGAGCGGCACAGAGGGTTCAGGGATGGTAAGTGAAGTCACACCAGCTGCACCTACCAGATCACGTCCTTGTCCATGACTGAGAATGAGGTCTATCAGCAGTGGGTTCAACAAAGCAAACACCACCGGGTCTTAGAGACCTTCCACGGCTTCGGTGGGGGAAACAAGGGTGCTTGAACAAACCCAAAAAGGAGTCGGTCCTCCAACAGCTCTGGCTCCACAGCCGAGGCAAGGATCCCGAATTCCAGAGCCGTCTTCGCGCTTCTCTGCTTTTGCCAAGAGCACGGGAGCGAGATGGGCAGAAAGGAAAGGCTTCTATGGGGCTTGAAGGTAGGGGGCCTTAATATTTGGAATAGGGCAAGGGTATCCAATATACAGGGCTCCGTCGGAAAACTCAGAACCCAAAGAAGAACCCTGAGCCCTGAAAGTGGAATCAACACCGAGCGGAGGGTTCAGAATGACCAGGGCTAGCTGGGGGCTCTTGTTTAATCCAAGTTTGTTTGCCCCCTGCGCGAGAGTCCTTGGGCATTCCGGGTATGAGGGTTGGTGGTCTCTCCAACGGTTGGAGAGGCTTCTGATGGTAGCTTTGATCGACTCTTCGAGCAGGGGTGTCAGCGTGTCTGAGTTTTAAGATCCCCAGAAGCCCCAGAGGGATCCCAAGCACCAGAGATCATGAAGTCTCAACCTTCTGTAGGCCCGACACCCGAACCTCCCCGCTGAATGTCGGAACCCCAAGTAGGATATCGGGACCTCAGAGCTCAGAGTTAAGAGTTAGTCTTCACGTTGCCGTTTTTTGGTACCCTGAGCCCTAAACTGCCCTAGGTTATGGATATAGACGAAGTTGATCTGGAGCAGCTCTTCCAGATGATTGACGTGGCCTGGCCGCCTGAGAAGAGGGGTCATGGGGTTGACCATAGCACAAGGGGATCCATTTTCTTTTTCACCCCAGGCATGCCATCCCTAGTATGGCCCAAGAACAGATTTAACCTAGCCTAAACCCTAAATCCTAAACCCTAAACCCTCTCAAGCTTGAATTTTGCTTCCTGAGGTGAATGGATCTGGCTCTATCGAGGCATGGGTTCGCGTCTGGAGTTAGCTGATTCTAGTAGAACCTTTTTTTTGAAATGTTAAGGTCCCTGATTCTAGTATACTATACCCCAAAACCTTTTCCTGAACTGTTAAGGGCCCTCCCTGCACAAGGATTTTGTTGAGGGGCTTGGTGCTTGGGGCTGGGTTTAGTTCGGGGTTCGGGGGGGGCAAACAGCATCTCAAAAACTGTTACTGTCGGTTTTTGTTTGGCTTTTGGTGTGGAGCTCGGCATTTTGTGCCACATGTCGTTTGGAATGTGCCTACTTGCTGCCCTTCGAGGTGGCTTTTGGGTCAGGGGGCGATGCTTGTATATTGGTTTTTGGGTCGGATAGCGTTTCGCGTGTGTGTGCTGCGAGGAGGCCGCATCCAGACCGTGACAGGGAGAAAAATCGACAACCAGTCACATTCAGAAGCCAGGGATGCCTTGTTGGTAATCCTCCGGTGGCGTGATGAACAACAATAGAAGGTAATACGTGTATACATATATATATATATATATGCGTATCTGTATGACACTTGTACACTTCTATGTACGCAGATCACTTGAAAGAATGAACTCTATTCGACTTATCGGTATTCTCGTCCCCCGATGCAAAGCCCACTCCGAGCTCTGCAGTGTTTTGCGAGTCCTGGGTTTGGGGTAAGGCATTGAGGATGTTGAGGTTTAAATACCCCAACTTAGCAAGTAAGTCCTTACAGCTATTAGTTCATCTCACAGCTCCGAAGATCCGAAGATGTCGCTGAGCGAGGCCTCCGACTTCATTTGGCCCCTCAGTCGCTGGGTGCTGGCCTTGGCATCAAAAACAGGGGGACTGCAATATACACCTACATAGTAGGATAATTCTCAAAAGGACCCTTGACCCGATTCCTACGTTACGAGCGTTTTATGCAGAAACGTTGGAGAAGTCTACAAAGCTACAATTCTGCTTTTGGTTCGCCGGCGCTATGGCTACCGTAGGATCTTGTCAGAAGAAAGCGACGTAACGGAAGTATGTTATGAGGTCTTAGGTAAGCCCTCCTACCCGAAAGCATTGAATCATTGAACCTCGATGCCCCAACGTAAGGAGTCGGATGCTTTAGTGATGCCATTCCCAGGGCATCCTGATTGCAATTACTCGTATCAGTTATCCCGACGCACTTTTCTAATTATTCAGGCTCCTACAGTAACCATAGACCTCAATAAAGAATAGACAGATGGGTTGAGGTGCCTTCTTGAAGGGATTCCTCCTAATTTATTGCAGGTCAGTGTGGGGCGGCCTGGTCAATTTCCCAATATGGACCCAGAATGAAACCAGTAGCGCAAAACGGCATCTGTGGAAGCATAGCAAAGCGACACTGTTCGAAACTGTACTACGAGGCTATCTTGTCTTAACGTTTTACATCCGAAATGTTAAGCCCCCAACCGTATATTCAGCAATCGTACATCCTTTTTGTTTGTCTTTATACAGCCACGCTAGAATATGCACCGGAACCTTATTCCAACTGAACTGGCTCATGTGAAAACGCCATGGGTCCTGGTCGGCCCCAGTTCTTGAGGCCGATGTGGTGTGCAGCCTTCAACCTAATTATCAGGAAGTTTATTGTCATTCCAAGCCGCAAGCCCTCAACCGTACCCCCTGCAAGGAACCCGGTCACGAACCCCTTAGGACGCCCATTCAAGGGACCCTTAAATCAAGCTTTGGACCGTGCATGGGACATTGAAGGATGAAGCCTTAGCCGCCTGAGTCTTCAGGTGCACGACTCCAAAACCGCCCCGCGCTTCATCAAGTACAACATGCCACCTCTGCTTGCTTAGGGTTCCGGGTTTCGGGGGCAGGGCTTTTGTCTAGAGTTTAGGGGGTCTAGGGTCAGTCAAAGATTAAGCGTTCATTGAGGGTTCTGTGCCCCGGCGAGCTGTGAGTTGAGGCTTGGTACTTGTGGCTTAGGGTTCAGGGGTTGGGGGGGTAGGTTCCTTCTGCTTATATGCTCTGTTCCAAGATCCCACAATAAAGGGAAGTACATGATGAGGCCGATAGCCTGCATTTAGAGCCCCTCTCGTACATTCATGCCAGGCTGCGGACGATGGAGATGCAGGAGGACAGCCTGCGACCGCAAGTGCTTTGTGTGCAACGTTCCCTAAACCCCAAACCGGCGGAAACCCCAAAAGGCTGAATGTGAGCATTCCTAATTTTGGCATGCAGGTTTAAAGCACAACCTTCCCTGTGGCTCCTTGCACGCACTTCTGAGCCTTCCTTTAGGGAAATCAATAACTCCGAATCCCTCAGACAGCGAACCCCTACGCCAAAAGACGCTGGGGCTTGTTAGATGCAAGACTGGAGCCCTGAATATCCACCACGCGACTATTTCCTCATAGGGTTCCTTGATATTAGTATGTCTGTACCGTAACATACCCCAAAATTGCATGCTGTGCATGTTCAGGGCGCTTTTGTAGTTATGAAGTCTTCGGAGCCTTCGGACCCAAGCCGAAAAAAAGCCGGAACATCGAAGGATCCTCGAAGCGCCAAATCCGTCACCGCAGGAGCTGTATGCCCTTTCCGAGGTCAAGTTCCGGCAGCTGAAGGAACGGTAATCTTGGGTTTAGGGTTTAGGGTTTAGGGTGCAGAGAGAGCCCCAGGCCCATGAGATCGGGAAAATCGCTTAGCTATCCGCTCGTTGCATAGTGTAATGCAGACCCCTGGTCCGCAAGAAGGCTCCTAGAATAAGTGGGACTTTAGCTTGAACTAGGTCCGGGCTTCTGCCATAAAGACGCTGTAATCAGCAAGCGAGTATTAAGCATGATAACCGAGGCTATCCAGGTGTTTGTGGGGCTGCAATCGGGTTCAGAATTGTGTGGGATGTGTAGGGTTCATAGGGTTTTTGTAAGGTTAGAGCGGTTAGGGTCTTCTGCCAGGTTCATGCACTGCTGCTTCTTTACCCGTCGTGGAGTTGACGCTGTTTTGCTGCAGACCTTACTTCTCAGACCCGCTGGATCCCATAAACCCGCATCAGAACTCTCTGTATAGACCAGGCGATCTCCAAAGGCTCCAAAACACCCTCGAATTCGTCGTAATATCTCCCCCGTTGAACCCAAGATACAATTATATTCTACGAACCTGAACATGCTCTGAGGTACAACTCCTTTGTTCAAAGGTCTGAGTCTGGGAGTGTCTGGGTCAGGAGTTAAGAAAGAGGCCTTGATAATTACCTATACTATTCTGGGGGCTCCTTCTTATAATTATAGTATTAATGGACCCCAAAACCCTATTCTAATTGTTAAGGCCCCTACATTACCCTAAACTGAAATTCTCAGAGCCATCAGCCCTCAACCCTCACGGCCGTGGTCATAAAACCTTTAACCTAGCACCCTTCATAGAAACCCTGATAGAATGAACGGAGCGCTTGAAGCGACCGCCGGGTGAGGAGCAGATAGACCATCTGACGCTGATACTAAAAGGGCGCAGCGCCGGCAACAACTTCGAGAGACTTGGATGATGCTTTGCCCAGAGGGTTTCGGGTTTAGACCGGTTTAGACGTTGCTTCCTTCCAGGATTGCCTTGAGGGCTTGACGAGGGTTTCTACCACAAAAAGGGGCTCAAGGCATGGGGTTTAGGCCTTTCGAGGAGTCGAACATGGGATGGAAGCTCTGAACCTTTTGACTTGAACCCGAAGCCCCAAAGCCCCAGTCCGAAAACCGTATCTAGCGCTAGAGAGTTCAGGGCTCGGGGGGTTGCAGGTATAGTCTGGCTGTAGCTTAAAAAGTGTAGTACACCCCAAGGCCCTTGCAGTCCCCAAGCCTGAGACAATCACAAGCCCAGAGCCCAAGGTAGAGCTCCAATCCTCTCCGCACATGTCTAATACTCTTGATTTTGGGGTGGGGGGTTTAGGCCGGGAGTGGATGATAGGCTCGAGTTGCCCAAACAGCCCTCGTGCCCAGGGAGTTGTCGGTGTTGACTCCACCCGACTCGGCAAGAGACCCTCGGCCGCGAGCTTTTCTGGAGTAAGGTCATCAGGGTTTGGGTTTCGGGTTTGGGGCCACCGGGGATGGGTGGTAGCCCAGAAAGCCGAGACGTGGGATAAGGATGGCTGGTACTGGGATTGCCTATGCCTTGAGGCTGAGCCCTAATTCTTAAACCTTAAATGGTTTGGGGAATTGGCGCTTTCTGGCCGTTTGTCATCCGAAAGCCTTCGACCCAAGCAGGGAAGACACGAAACTGCAGAATTCCCTGGTGAGTTTACTGTTCAGAGCTTGGGCTTAGGCCCCAGCTAGGGTTCAGGGCTGTTCCAGGAGCCGAGTGATTTCTAACAGTTTCTGGTCGTCGGGGTTTAGAGTTTTGACGTCAGAGGGTGACCTAAATCCTAAATCCTAAACCTTAAACCCTAAATCCTAAACCCTAACCCTAGACGTATTCTTACGCGAACCCGTCGGATTTCGGTGCACTTGAGTGGGGAGAAGGAGTAGAGCACGGGGCTTTGGGGACCTGTTTGGTTTCGAGATGTTTCGAGTTTGAAGGACTTGCTGAATATGTTTTGAGTCCAAAAGACTTGCTAAATATAGGGGCCGGAATATTTGTAGTAACATCCCCTGGCCTTTCCCCCCCATTCTTCTTCTGCTAGAGGCCTCTGTAATGCACCGGTGGAAACATTTTTTCATGGATCTAGCCTTCAGAACCCTTGGGCTGAACTAACCAGAGTAATCCATTCGGGAGAGAATTCATTAGTTTCTGCACTTCTGAGGGCTCCTTCTACTCTATTTGCATACATCAAAACCGAAGTCCAAGACCAGAGACCCCCTTTGGCGGATACAGCCGGTTCCTCTTGGCGGTCTTAGCTCGGATTATGTTGGGTATCCCATCAACACGGCGCCACGTCTTGAAAAGCCTTCAACACTATCTGCCCATTGCAGTCCTACGATACTATCACGTTCGCAAACCCCTCATCTGATTATGAAGGCAGTATGTATTTGTTTTTTCCGTGAGGAGTGTTGTGTTCTAAGTCGAGGACTCCTCCAGCTCTGCAATCCGGATTCCCATTCCTTTCGAGGCCTCTGAGGGAGTTTAGGTCGTTGGAGTGTTTTAGGCTGTAGGCTGCTAGGTTTACGTGTTGGGGTAGGGGTCAGTGAATTTTCGTTTCGGTCCGAGGGCTCTACTGCTTGTCTTCGTTTTGTTTTCGTTGCAGGTATTTCTGTTGTTACGGTGGAGCAAGGCCCCCCCCCCCCCCCCCCC